TACAGAGTCTGCAAAACACTGCATAATATGGATGAAATTGGAGGACATTATGCTGAGTGAAATAAGTCAATCACAGAAGGACAAATATAGTATTAGTTTGTTGTTGTGGAGGGTCAAGGAAAGGTTTATATATGGAGAGAAATTTTCTCTTTTGTTTGCCAGGGATGGGAGGGGAGGGGAGAGACACTCCAACAACAAAAAATGCATTGACCCATGTCACTTATTTCACTGTACATAAATTATATTTCAATAAAATGCATTTTTTAAAAAAAGAATAGAGTGATAAAAGGTAAAAGTTTCCCTTCACTCTGCCTTTCCCTTCCTCAAATTCCCCTCCTCTCCCTGGAACCATTTGATGGGTCTGTATTTCTTTCCAAACACTTGATATACCCACTATAAAAACTAAAACTCACTGCCGTCAAGTCAGATCTGACTCATAGTGCTCCCTCTTTGGGTTTCTGAGGCAGTATCTCTACAGAAGTAGATTGCTCAATCTTCCTGCCAAGCAGTGGCTAGTGGGTTTAAACTGCCAGCCTTCTAGCTAGCATTCAAATGCCTTAGGCACTACTGCATTAAATAGTTTTCTTTTTCTTTTTACATAAATGGGCTTATCCTGAACATAGTGTTTTGCAACTTCCTCTTTTCCATCTAAATATGAGTCTTGGCAATCTTTCCACATTAGCACGTACAGGCCTCCTCATCATTTTTTACTTTGTCCAGCATTCCATAGTATGGTGGTGGTGTTTTGTTTTGTTTTGTTAGCTGTCATTGGCAACCCCATGTACAACATTATAAGACCATTGTGATCTATAGGGTTTTCATTGGCTGATTTTTTAGAAGTAGATTGGCAAGTCTTTCTTCCTAGTCTGTCTTAGTTTGGAAGCTCTAGAAACATGCAAGCCTCCCCTGACAAATGGGTTGTGGCTGCTTATAAGGTGCCTTGGCTAGGAATAAAACCCATGTCCCTCACATGGAAGGCAAGAATTCTACCACTGAACACCAATGTCTCTCATATTCTATAGTAGAGCAGTGTCAAATTTTTGGCTTCTCTCTTATCATGGACAAGGCTTGTTTCTAACCTGTTTATAAATTCTTGTCCTTTATAGGGGTTCCTGGATGTCACAAGTGGTTTGTGACTCGCTGTTCACCTAAAGGTTAGTGGTTCAAACCCACCCAGCCACAAAAAAGGCCTGCCTGGTGATCTGCTTCCATAAAGATCACAACCAAGAAAGCCTTATGGAGATCATCTACTCTAACACATGGGGTCGCCATGAGTCACAATTGACTTAATGACCTTGGTTCTGTTTTTTTGTTCCCTTGAGTAACCAGTTCTGTGAATACATCAACTTCTCTGTGAAGGAATGCAAGCTTCTAGAAAGGGTAGATCAGAGTCAGAAAGACTCCACTACTTTCTACATCTATGAACCTAGAGAAGCTACTTAATTTATCTGGACACAGGTTCTTCATCTGTTTCTCATGATTGTGAAGATCAAATGAGCTACAACAGGGAAAAAGCTTGGCACCAAGCAGGAGTTACTAAATGTGAGCTTCCTTTTCCAGATTTCCATAGTGTCAAAGTGCCACCCATACACTCACACTCAGCCCCAACCCCTCTGTTGCTTTCTCTTCCTCATTCTGGTGTGTGTGTGTACATGTGTGTTAGAAGCTATGCCACCATACAAGAGCAACCTCCCTTGACAAGACTGTGTTCACTCTGTGTTCCCATGTTGTGGATGCCACATCTTGGGATCTCTGCCATTCAGGACTGCCTACATGATTTGTGGGTAAAACAAAAATCAGTTTCATTCAAAACTAATAAGAATTTTTCACCCAAATCACAGTAAAAATTAAAAAGACAAAATTAAAAAGAATTTCAGGACAGTAACAGAAGAGCATTAAAGCAAGTAAGTGAGTGTAGGACACTGTGTGACAACACAACTTGCACATCCATGAAGCTGGCCTACTCCCCATCTATTCTTGGCTACATCATTCCTGGATATTGACATTCAGTTCTCATCCCACAGAATGACTAAATGCAATTTGCATCTGGAATGCAAAATTGTTCTAAATTGATCCCCCCCCCCCAAATTAATGTAATAGTTAATATAAATAAAATAAAAGTTCAACCTGCCATAGCTCAAACACAACCCAGACACACTCTTCTCTGAACTGGGGACAAGTACAGCCTTAGATACAGTTTTAGTACAGTTGAAGAATAATGTTAAATTAAAGTATGAAACAAAATTATATGAATAAAAACTTCAAAGTAGAGAAAATTCAATCATTTATTTTCCTGGAACACTAGGGAAAGATCATCTTATCCAATTCTAGGAGTCCTTGTCCTGTATCAGGGTAGGCCTAGAGGTCTGTGAGAGAATGTAAGTCCTGTGTGAGTTTGGGGAGATTGCTAGGGAGAAGATATAGAGTGAGTAAAGGAAGAGTCAGCACCCCCTTCCCCTAGCCTCCCATAATCCTACTCCCATAGACAGAAGAAGGTTTCTCTGGACAGCGCAGCATGAGCAGCAGCATGGTGCCAAATGGAAGTCCCTTCCCACAGGCAGAGACCTCACCTGCCGGCAGACTCGGGACTTCTCCAGGAGAAATTGCTCAATCCGTGCACCCTCTATCACCCCACTGGAGTTGAAGTGGATGTCAATGTACTTCCCAAAGCGGCTCGAGTTGTCATTGTGAACTGTCTTGGCATTTCCAAAGGCTGGTGGGGAGTTGGCAACGCCCATGGTGAACAAAGAAGAGAAAATTTATTTGTTTTTTTTTTTTTATTTTTATTGTGATTTGCGTGAAAGTTTACAGAGCAGATTCATTTTCTGTACAGCGGTTCACATACATTTTGTCTCATGACATTGACTGAAATCTCCCACAATGCGACAGCTCCCCTCCTACTTCCTCCCTATAGTTATCTATTCCCTGTGCCCTTCCCTTCTATGCACTCCTGCCCCTTGAACTGTTTCCCTGTGCATACACATCCCTTCCATTCTCCCATGATTGATTTCTCCAAGGAGTGCATCTACCTAATGTAAACGTTCAGCTCATATGCTTGTCTTTTGTTTGGCTGGAAGCCACAGGACTAGGTTCAGTTCCAGACCTGATGGGCAGCTAGGGGCCATAGTCTCACGGGTTCCACCAGGTTCTATCAGACCAGCAAACCTGGTCCCTTTATGCATACATGCATACACACACACACACACACACACGCATATATACGCAATTTTGAATTTTGTTCTACAGAGAAAATTTACTTTTGGAGACATCATTTGGAAAGACTTCTCAAAGGAGGTGGCCGCTAAGCCCCGAATTTAAGGTTTGGTGGGGTTTCAGCAGGCAGCTATGGCAGCTAAGGGCTTGTCATGAGGAAAGCAAAGTGCAGGTGAATATTTTGAGGCCAGAAATTATGGTATATAAGCCTGTTGTTGTTGTTGTTGTTGTTATGTGCCGTCAAGTTAGATCTGACTCATAGCGACCCCTCCTGGGGTTTCCAAGGCAGTAGCACTATGGAAGTAGATTGCCCCATCTTCCTTCCGAGGAGTGGCTTGTGGGTTTGAACCGCCAGCCTACTGGTTAGCAGTCAAATGCCTTAGGCACTATGCTACCAGAGCTCCCCTTGGTATATGCCTATAAGTGTAGAAATATAGATGAAGCATAAGATACAAGAGGAAAGCAGTGGAAGACAGAAATTATTAGACCATATGTTATGCCATAAAACAAACCTCAATAAAGTTAAAAGAATAGAAATAATACAAATATATTCTCTGATTACAGTTGAATGAAATTAAAAATCAATAACAGAAAAGCAGAATGAGACACTCACAAATACACGGAAATGAAACAACACATTCCTAAATAACCTTCTTAGAGTCAAAGAAAAAAATCAGAACAGAAATAAGAAAATACTTTGAAATGAATGAAAATGAAGACACAGTATACCAAAACTTATGGGATGCAGATGACGCAGTGCTTAAAGGAAAATTTATAGCTACAAATACCTAATTGAGAAAAAACAAAGCTCTAAAATCAATAATCTACTTTCAACCTTAAGAAACTAGGAAAATAAGACCACTCTAAACCTAAAGCAAGCAGCAAGAAATATTAAAGATTAGAGCAGAAATTAATAAAATTAGAGACTAGAAAAGCAGTAGAGAAAAATTAATTAAACCAAAATACAATTATTTGAAAACAACAAAATTGACAAACCTTTAGCTAGATCAACCAAGAAAAAAAGAGAGAGAGAGAAGACTCAAATTAGTAGAACTGAAAATGAAATGGAACATTACTACAGTCCTTAGAGAAACAGAAAGGATTGTAAAGGAATACAATGAAAACTGTGTGTCAATAACAAGAAAACTTAGATGAAATGAACAAATTCCGATGAAGACACAAACTACCAAACTGACTCAAGAAGAAACAGATAATCTGAATAGACCTATAACAAGTGAAGAGATTGAATTAATAATTAAAAATTATCCTGAAAGAAAAGTGCAGGCCAAGATAATTCACTGCCGAATTCCACCAAACATTAAAGAAAAATACCAATTCTCCACAAAATACTCCAAAAAGTAGTGAAGGAGGGAAAACTTCCCAACTCATTCTATGAGACAAGTATTACCACAAGACCAAAATGAGACAGAAACATCATAAGAAAACTACAGAACAATATCTCTAATAGATGGTATTAAAAAAAAAAAAAAAAAACTTTGTCATTGAGTCAGTTCTGACTCATGGCATCTCCAGGTGTTCTGTCATCTTATGGAAGTAGATCATCAGGTCTTTCTTCTGTGGTGCTGTTGGGTGGACTTGAACTTCCAACCATTTAGTTAGTGGTTGAGTATAAACTGTGCCATCCAGGGACCTTATCACTTATGAATATACATACAAAAATCTCAGCAAGTTACTAGCAAATTGAACCCAGCGATATATAAAAAGAATTATATAATAACATCATTAACTGGGGTTTTTCATAGGAAGGCAAGACTGGTTTAATATCTGAAAATTAATTAATGTAATATAGCTTATCAATAAGGTAAAAAACAAAACCCACACGATCATTTCAATAAACACGGAAATAGCATTTAGCAAAATTCAACACCCTTTCAGGAAAGAAATCCTCTGACAAGCAAAGTACTACTGATGAAGAACAAAGTAGGAGGTCTCACATACCCTGTTCTCAAAACCTACTATATAGCTGCAGTAGTCAAAAAGGCTTGGTACAACAATAGACACGTTCTCAATAGAATTGAGAATCCAGAAATGGATCCATCCACAGTTGTGTTTTGACAAAGGGCTAAAACTCATTAAATGGGGAAAAGATAGTCTCTTTAACAAACAGTGCTGGCAAAACTGTATAACCATTTGTAGAAACAAGATCTTTACTTCATACCACACCAAAAACTAACTCAAGATGGATCAAAGACCTCAATATAAAACTATAAATTTCATCAAAGAAAAATTGGACAAATTTAGGGACCCTAATTTATGGCATGGGGAGCTCTGGTAGCATAGTGGCTAAGACACTTGCCTGCTAACCAGACGGCTGGTGGTTCAAACCCACCAGCCACTCCTTGGAAGGAAGGTTGGGCAATCCTACTTCCATAGTGATACTGACTTGGAAACCCAAGGAGGGGTTGCTATGAGTCGGGTTTGACTCTACGGCACATAACAACAACACAACAACAACAATTTACGGCATAAATAGACTATCAAGCATAACCCAAAATGCACATACAGCAGAAGATAAACTAGATGACTGGGACCCTCTAAAGAGGAATTCTTCTGCACATCAAAAGACATCTCCAAAAGAGTAAAAAGAAAATCTATAGACTGGAAAAAATTATTTGACAATGACATATCCAAAAAGGGACTTATCACTAAAGTTTATATAAAACTTCAGCACCTCAGCATCAAAAAGACAAAAGTACAATTAAAAAATGGGCAGAGGACATGAACAGACACTTCACCAAAGAAGATACTCAGGTGGCCAACAATCACATGAAGAAATGCTCATGATCATTAGCCACTAGAGAAATGTAAATCAAAATACAATGAGATATTATCTCATTCCAGCAATAATGTTAAAGTTCAACAAGACAAAAAACAACAAATGCTGGCAAAGGTATGGAGAAATTAGAACTCTCCTACACTGCTGGTGGGATGGTAAAATGTACAACCACTGTGGAAAAAAGTATTATGTGCTTCTTTAAAAAGTTGAAAATAGAAATATCATTTGATCCAGCAATCTCACTACTAGGAAATGAAACAACACAGTCATTGCCTAAAGAAGAGAAAGCCAGGACATGAATAGTTATATGCACACCCATGTTCATTTGCAGCATTATTCACAATAGCAAAGAGATGGAAACAACCTAAGTGCCCATCAACGGATAACTGGATAACCAAACTATGGTACATACACACAATGGAATACTATGCAACATAAAGAATGATGAATAGTCTGCAAAACACCTCATAACATTGATGAACTTGTAGGACATTATGCTGAGTGAAATAAGTTAATCATAGAAGAACAAATATTGTATTAGTCCACTATTATAAAAAGTCAAAGAAAGGTTTACACATGAAAGGAAATTTGTTTGTTTGTTTGTTTGTTTTAAGTATCAGGGATTGGAAGGCAGAGCAGCAAAATTGCTAGCTAGGTAAGAGATACATTTTGATTTGGAAGAAGGGAAAGGCAATATACCAAAAAAGGGTGTCCAGTACAATATTACTAAGGAAAAGGAAGACACAGAGAGGTATACAAGAGGTACAGACAACAAAGGTAAATACTATTGCATACATAATACCACATGATCAGTCAGAAGAAACATTAATCTACAGGTGGATATATAGGTAGACAGGCAAGATGATCAGTTATGGGTAGGTTAAAAGGACTATGCCCATGACTATATATAGGTTTGGCAGGCTATATATATATATATATATATATAATGTTATAAAAATGTTCATATTATAATAGAGCTAACAGGTGGGGAAGTTATGATAACTTCTCAGCCACAATAAAACTCCTCAAGGGAGTGAGTTACTAGGTCTATAAGCTCAGGACCATGGTTGCAGAGGACATCAAGCTTAACTGGCATAACACAGAACACAAAAACATTGTTCGATATCCTACTTGGGTGAGAAGGAACTGGGGTCTTAAAAGTTTGGGAGTGGCCATCTAAGATGTAGGTATTGGTCTGTCCTTGCCCAGAGCAAAGAAGAGTGAAGAAAATCAAAGACGCATGGAAACAAGTAGTCCAAGGGACTAGTGGGCCATGGGAACTTCAGTCTATAAGACCTTGATACCAGAAGAACTAGATGGTGCCCAGCTACCATTGCCTACCTTTCACACAGGGATAAAAATTGGAGATCCTGGATAGAGTGTAAGAAAAATGTGGAACAAAACTTAAAATCATTTAAAAGGGGAAAAACAACAACAACAAAAAGGATCAGGTTACTGGTCTAATAAAGGCTGGTAAAACCCCTGAGACTATAGCTCCCAGCCATCTTTCAGGCCTGTAATTGAACTCACTCCTATGTCTTAACCTTCAGGCAAACAATAAATAGAAAGGCTTACAAAGTGAACAATTACACCAGGGAAGTGCACTCCTCAGAACAATCAAGCACGGGGAGACCATAAGGCAGCATTTGTGCAGGGAGAAAGCTCAGAAGGCAGGAATGCATAGGAGACAAAGACACAGGGAAAAGGTAACCACAGAGAGGAAGTGGGAAGAGAGCTGTTACATTGTGGGGATTGCAATCAGTGCCATGAAACAAAATCTATATGAATTGTTTGTTGAATGAAAAACTAACTTGCTCCGTAAACTTTCACCCAAATCACAATAAAAAGTTAAAAAAAAAAAAAAAAAAAAAAGAAGAAGAAGATGGAACCACAGGAGTGCTGTTGGCTGACAGCCCTGGGGCCAAAGTCACACTCTTCTGGGTCACTAGGACAATTCCTGAGCATAGAGGCAGAGGGATCAAGCCTGGTCATATCAGCCTAAGGCAGGACTCTTCTCATGGTCAGTTTTTGTTCCTCTGCTTTCCATTGGGTTAGACAAGACTGCCTCTCTCTGGCCAACCCTGCATCCTTTCCTTTCTTAACTGTCCCATCTGCATCCCTATTGAAAGCTTTTCCTGCCCATTCTTGCTTTCTCCCCCTTTATCTCCTGCATGAGTTACCCTTCAATAAATCTCTTGCTATCCTAACTCTCAGTACTCAAACTGAAACACCTCACATTTCCAAATTTATTTGATCCCAGAGCCCTCTGCAAAAGGCATACTTATTTCCCTCTGTGTTCCTCCCTTTTAGAGGAACTCTTGCAGAGTCATCAGTCTTTCCATTCCGTGCTGTCTGGGAGCTCCCTCAGGTATCCAGCCACCCCTCTTCATCTTTCGGGCCCTGGAGAATCCTGAGGAATCACTGGAGATTTCTGTTCTACTCTGCAAAACACTTCATCTCCCTTCTCCATGGGCATCTCCTGGAAGGAAGGTTCCAATGCAGAAGTTTTGAAGGTGTCCCTTACCTTCCAGGATGGGGTTGGCCTCAAGGACCTGCTGCTCAATCCACGAATGCTGGCCACTGACAGTGGCCAGGAACTGCAGGATGAGCTTGGTGGTCTCTGTCTTCCCTGCCCCAGACTCACCACTGCAAAGATGAATGTAAGTTAACAGAAAGACTTTCACCAGCACCACTCAGCACCATTCAGTTGTACCACAGGCCCCCTCTGGTCAGTCTGAACCAGGAAGCCCTTCCCCTCTGTGGAAATCCACTCTATGTTCCCTAGCTATCTACTCTGTGTTAGTTATTGGTGTGCTGTCTTTTCTTCCCTGCCAGGCTACAGGTTCCCACAGATACTACCAGGTCTTGGCCATGCTAGGGCTGCCAGCAGAGGACCAACACAGTACAACTCAGTGCACAGATTGAACAGACAGGGTCTGCAATAACTGTGACTTCTCTCCACAACCCACTGTTTCTACATGAGAATTGAAACAGTCCCTTTAGGAACCAATAGATGTGATACCTTAAGAATTATTCCTGCCTTTTGGCCTGAGGAAGAAGCTCTGGTGGTGTAGTGGTTAAAGAATTCAGCTGCTAACCACAAAAGTCAGTACGGTTCAAACCCACCAGGCTCTGTGTAGGAGAAAGATGAGACAGTCTGCTTCCATAAAGATTTACATCCTTGGAAATCCTGTAGGAGTTACTATCAGTTGAAATCATCTCAATGGCAGTGGGTTTGATTTGAGGTTTTTTTAGCATAAGGACCCAAACCAACTAAACTACTGCTCTCAAGTAGATTCTGATGCATGGAGACCCTATAGGACAGAATAGAACTGCCCCATAGGGTTTCCAGTGCTGTAAATCTTTAAGGAAAAAGACTGCCACACATTTCTCCTGCAGAATGGCTGGTGGGTTCCAACCACTGGCCTTCTGTATAGCAGCCGAGCACTTTAACCAATGTGCCACCAAGACTTCTTAGCCTAATGAAATATTACTAAATTCAGAAAAAGCTTTCTCACAAAGCATTCTGCTCCTTAAAGCATTATTTATCATTATAATTATGGAAAGTTGCAAGTTACCTCAATGGGGTAACAAATTATGTTATATAGTCAGATAACATCATGCAGCCATTAAAGCCAAGTCTACACAGAGACTAGCTACTGTTAAGTAAAGAAAATTGGTAGAATTCAAACCAGTTGTTTTTTCAATTACCCAGGGAGTTTAATTAAGTTTAAAAAAACATACTATGTCTGGCACACAGCATGCCTTCAGATTGATAGTTATTACTATTATCATTAAGACTTAAAACATTACTTTTTTTATACACTGCTTTTTATTATGGAAAATTTTCAATCATTACAATGTAGGCTCAAAAATGTGGCCCACAGACCAGCAGCATTACAGGATTAAAAACACAGTCTCAGGCCCCACCCAGATATGCTGGATTAGAAACTGCACCTTGAAAATGCCCCCAGGGGATTTCTGCACTATTTAACGCTTGCATCATCAACACCCATATTCTTACCTAGTTTTAACTCCTGGTCAGATTAGGAAGGAGGCAGTTTGTAGAGGAGAGTCAGGACCTAGACAGGTGGGGACACATCTCTTCTGGGCCCAGTCACCCAGAGCCACTGCTGCCCTTTTTGTCACCTGAAGCTTACCAGAGACTCTTTTGTGGTAAGACTTTATTTGTTTGATCTCTGCATCCCCAGATGGCTACCCTGGGTCCCTGCATCCTTCCTTTGTTTTCTCAATAAATACTTATTGAAGACTGGGTGAGGTCCAGGCCATGGTAATGTAATAAAATACCAGGTACAGAAAGAAAGAAACCTAGGGGGAAAGGGACTCTCAAGGGGAGATAGTAGGACCCAGAGACAAGTCCAAACATGCTTATGTGCCTCTGCTGGGATGCTTGCATTGAATAAAAACAGTGAAAACCAGTTGCCATCTAGCTTACTCCAAGTTACGATAAACATATGAGTGTCAGAGTAGAACTGTGTTCCGAGGAGTTTTTAATGGCTGATTTTTTAGAAGTAGATCTCTAGGACTTTCTTCTGAGGTGCCTCTGGGTGGACTCAAACCTCCAAACTTTTGATTAGCAGCTGAGCACATTAATTGCACCATCAGACACTCTGAGTACTAAAACACACCAGTGTTGCAGACATGCTGGTAGTGAGAGGCTTAGGGCAAGGGGGTGTTTGTGAACATTTATGAGATGCCTATGAACAGTGCCTGGGCACATCTTCTTTCCCACCTGATGATGCAGCACTGGTCCTTCTTGTTCCTCTTCATGTTGTAGTAGCAGTTGTTGGCGATGGCAAACACATGAGGTGGCAGCTTGCCCACATGGTAGTTATAATATAGCTGCACCTGCTCCTGAGTGTAGAGGGGCAGCACCTGGAATGGGTTCACAGCCACCAGGATGGAGCCTGTGTATGTCTGTGGAGGGAGCAGATATCAGTGATCTCCCCTGGGCATGCCTTCAGACAACCCTCCTTTGATCACTAGGGGCAAGGACTCTGGTGGGGAGGTGCCATCTGATTCTGGGCAAGGGACCACCTCCGTGTACATTGGGACCTTGAGCAAGGCACTCAGCTGCTCAGACTCTTCTTTGGGGAGGCTGTGGGTGTCAGCTGAAAGGGGAGTTCCCAGTGGGCACATTCACAGGAGATTGAGACTTTCTCTGTCAAACATTTAGCACCATGCCTTGTCTTACACAACCAAATGATTAGTTTTTGGTTACTGCTCAAATGGCCCCATGAAGGCCAGTTACTAGTAGTTGTCCTTGTTGAAACAAGTCCACCTGGGGCCCCAGTACCATCTCTGCTTGCTTCTCTAGAGCCCTCTAGGCCTAGATGCCCCTCTAGGGGTGAGACAGAGACAACCGCCTTCACAACTTCACAAGTCACATCATTACCCATTCTTGTTTTTTTTTTTTTTTGTTTTTTTGTTTTTAAGAATGGAGAGGCTAATTGCTCTGGTTTCAAGAGGACCAAATGAAAAAATGTATCACACAAACTTTGGAAAGAATACCGAAAAAAAAAAAAAAAAAAAAAAAAAAAAAAAAACCTTACTGTAGTCAAGTCGGTCCCAACTTATAGTTGACCCATTCTTGGGTTTCCAAGGTGGTATCTCTACAGAAGTAGATTGCCCAGTCTTCCTCCTGAGGCGTGGCTGGTGGGTTTGAACCACCAGCCTTCTGGTTAGCAGTCAAATGCCTTAGGCACTATGCCACCAGAACTCTTTTAGAAAGCATAAAGTACAATAATAAATTCCTCTTATTGCTGTTATCAGGTCCAGCAGCTCTGGCCTACAATTAGCCAAAGCAGACTCACTGTTTTGGGCCCTGCTCTTACGCTGTCTCATTTCCCCCACCACCACCACCCTCTCCTCTGTCCAGTGGCTCCTAGCTTACTCTCAGAGTCTCTGAGCTGTCCAGAACAGCCAGCCAGAACCAAGAGAGCTCTGGTTCTACCTAATCTAGCTCTCCTTCCATGCAGGCCCTGTAGTGCACACACTCAGCACTTAGCTGTGGAGCTGCTTAGAGCCACAGCCCTGGGGACCACTGGCACTGTGCTCCCTCCACTACCTGAGCACATTGTGAAGAAGCTGGCACCAGTGTTGAGACACAGTGCTCATCGGGAAATCTATACTGTAACAGGGTAGGGAAACTGCCCGTTCATTGCGGGGTTTTGGAAGAAAGACCCCAGTCTACCCACATACCCTCCTTATCTGTGGTCATGACCCTCAATGAACATACTGGCTGGTCTTCACTGGACTCATTTCATAGGCGGGCAGGGGTCTGTCTCTTCTCTGGTGACCCTGTTTTAGCAACATGCCTTGGAAGGGGGCCGGCAGAAGACTGTACCCACCCCACTGGCCTCTGGGGTCTGCTCAGACTTCCTCTCTGAGTATGAGTTATGACTAATTGAGCACCTACTGCATGCAGACACTGCACTGCCCCCGGCACACTGGTTTCCTCCATCCTCCAAGGAGGTTCATATCACCCTGCATCACTCAGATGGAAGTAGAGATAAACAAGGGGGGATGAAGAACATGACTGAACCAGGTGCATGGATGAACCAGGTGCGTGGATGTCAGCATATGTGGACACAGCCCCATTCAGGTGGGGCTTACATGGACATGAGGAAGTTGAGGACAGTGACAGGACCTCTGGAGCCTGCTTCTACTAGCAGTGCCAAAGAACTTGTGCTTCCAGAGGGAGGGGGGAAAGAGTGTGAAGCAGTTTCAGACTCACATAGATCTTGTGCTGCTGGTACCGGATGAGGAGATTGTGCACCATGCCTGCCTCATTCAGGTCCCCCAGGTGGATCATGTCATCCACACCATGGGCCAAGTTGGGGTGCATGGGGCTGAGGCTTCCAAGGTCCTCTACACAAATCCAGTGTTCCTGTAACAGAGGGCACCAGAGCACAGACTTGGAGGGGTTGCCTCTGCAGGGCCAAATTACTACACTCTCTCATCCAAGTTCTCAACAGCAAGATGATGTATAGCATTCCAGATCACCTGGCCTGGGAGCAGGTGGCCAGACTCTGGCCAGTCAGTCTGTGGTTAAGATCAAGGGAAATCTGTGGCTGGGGTCAGCATGTGTCTAGAGCCAGGGGCAATTGGGCAGCTGGGGCTAGGGGTGAACTTTAGGCCAAGGTCAGAAGACCTTGTTGCTTAGATTAGGCTATGATGGGATCAGGGGTTGGTTTGAAGCTGGAGCTCCAAAGGCTGTGGAAATCAGAGTGTGCAAGTAAAAAGCATTTTAAAACTGGACAGCATCATACAAACAGAGATGTTGGTATTTGCCATCAAGTCGGACTTGACTCATTGCGACCCCTCCTTGCGTTTCCAAGGCAGTATCACTATGGAAGTAGATTACCCAACCTTCCTTCTGAGGAGTGGCTGGTAGGTTTGAACAGCTAGCCTTCTGGTTAGCAGTCAAGTGCCTTAGGCATTACACTACCAGAGGTCTGACAAACAGAGATAGTATTATTAATTTTTCAAACAGGTAACTTCCATACTATGAAGTACACAGACTAGTCCAGAATCTTCTCCTTGGAAAGCAAGTATCAATGTGCCCCACACTGTAGTGCTCAGCATGGCAAAGGGGGCTGCTGAGGAGTCAAGCCCATCAGGGTTGACTGGCAAGACTCCACCCTGCATGCCTAGCCTTACCTCTCTGCCATCTCTATCTCACTTGCTGACCCTCCCCCACCCTCAAGTGAAAGAGCCTTCAAGGACAAACTGGATACCTAGTACCCCTCCACCTCCCCACCCCACACCCCAAATCTGTTCTGCTTTGCTCAGCATCAGAAGACTTAGGCCTCTTCTTCTGTACACTCTTACTGGCCCCTCTATGGGTTTTCTCACACATCTTTCCCTTCTGTCTTTCTTGTCCTCCAGCTCTCACTCCTTACTTTGCAAAGTGAGGCCTTTGAATTCACTTCTGTCTATAACAGCCCCTTTCTTGCTTCCCTTCTCCCTTTCCCCTCTGTTGTACTATTTTTCATGACTGTCATCTAGCCCCTAGCCTCTTCATGTAGAAACAAGTCCCCAGAAAGACAGGAAGTGTTTGTTCATCATGGCATGAATCCCCCAATGTGATTCTGTCCTGTCACAAAGGTCTCTATAGGGTTTTGGAACCCTTGGTGTTGAGAACAGCACAGAGAAGGGGGGATGATCTTTCTGGAGGGGGCAGATAGAGAACTGAGAGGGCAGAGTCTTGCAGTAAAGCCCAGTGTCACTGACCTTCCCCTCGTCATCCTCTACCAAAATTTTGCCTGATTCTGTTTGTTTGATGATTCCCCCGATGGCCACAGTGGTCTCCTTGACAGAGGGAAGGTCCAGCCACACATGGTCCCCCTGAAGAACAAAGAGAAGACAGTGGTCTGATGTTTAGTATGCCTTTCCCTTCCTGCCTAAAACTTCCCTCCTCCTGGGGACTGCCCTCCTCCCTGAGAGCTCCCAGGGCAGCTGGTGTTCATGCTCTCCCACTTCTAACCTCCATGAGCATAACTCATTTACACTGCTCACTGGTCAGGTAGCAAATGCTACCATGTACAGCTCTGTCTCCATGTCTCTTTCTCATCTCAGGAAGTAAGCTGACCAAAGGACTTTGTCTTACACCTCCTAGGACTTCCTACAGCACCTGTCACAAAGAATAAACTCAGGACCTAGAAGGTCAGCAGTTCAAATTTATTAGCTGCTCTGTGGGAGGAAGACAAGGCAATCTAGTTCCATAAAGATTTATAGCCTTGGAAACCCAATGGGGGTCTCTATGAGTCAGAATAGACTTGATGGCAGTGTGTGTGTGTGTGTGTGTGTGTGGCGGTGGTGGTGGTGGTGGTGATTTATTCAGGCAGCATAAACCAACCAAACTCACTGCCATTGAGTCAGATCCAACTCATAGTGTCCCCTCCTTGGGTTTGCAAGACGGTATCACTATGGAAGTAGATTGCCCAACCTTCCTTCAAAGGAGTGGCTGGTTGGTTTGAACCACCAGCCTTCTGGTTAGCAGTCAAATGCCTTAGGCACTCACTATGCCACCAGAGCTCCTTTAAGGCAGCAGAGTAGATTAGAGAGCACTGGGCTTCTAAGCCGCTGAACTACAAAGCAGGCAGAAGTGTGTCCAATGAGTCAGGAAGAAACTGAAAAGATGGTCCCAGTTGCAGATTTCAGGAAGGTCCACCAAAGTTCACTTCTTCTAGGTAGGGGCACATTCTGGCAGGCAAAAGCAGCATCTCCTGCTGCAACAGCAGGAACAGGGGGCACGGGGTGGCAGCATGTACTTCCCTAACATGGTATGGGCCTAAGAAATAGACAACCCACATTTACAGGAAGTAGTCTCTGTAAGGTTGAAAAAGAGGGTTTGTCCTTGAATAGCCTTATATTAGACAATTGGCCAGGGAGGAGAAAGACTATGGCACTGACTCCACATGAATTTCCTACTACTCTAAGAAAGCTGATCCTACTCAAACAGGAGTAATTCAAAAGATACCAGCACAGGTCTACATACAGAGATTTGAAAAAAAAACAAAAAACAAACAAACTCACTGCCATTGAGTCAGATCCGACTCATAGTGACCCCTCCTTGAGTTTCCAAGGCAGTATCACTATGGAAGTAGATTGCCCAATCTTCCTTCCAAGGAATGGCTGGTGGGTTTGAACTGCCAGGATAGCAAAATCCAAAAGGAGGGGAACAGGTAAATAACACTCACCAGAGAAAAACCACCACAAAGCAGTGGACAACTGGGCAGATGCCTCACCATGGTTTAGAAACAGTGAAGTTCAGATTAGAGGCAAGCTCAAGAACTGGATAGTGAGGGGAGAGTGGGAAGAACACTGTTAGATAGATAGAAATGAATATTGATTTGGGTGAAGAGAAGGGCAATGTACCAAATGTGAGTGACCAATATGGCAGCATTGAG